TTTGATTAATTATGATATTATCAAATTAATTAAATTCATTACACAATTTCAGGCGGAAAATTAATTGAATTCATGATGTAATTAAATTTTGATAATTAATTAGTCAGATTATAGTCATTTTTTCCTTTCCGTAATATTCAATTAAATTAAAAATTAACTAAATTTCATTTGCAGTTAAATTGAAATCGAGATTAAAATAAATTCACAGTTTTTCTATATTTTCCTTAGAAAAAATTTTAAAAACTTTAATAAATTTAAAAAAAATGAATTTGATAATAAAGTGATGAAAAAAGTGAATTTTTGTGTTTGAAAAATGACACTATAGAAATTAGGGGGAATTTTAAGTAATTTTAAGTGTCCATATTTTTAGAGGGTGTCATAAAGTGGGTAGGGCGAAATGTGTAGCTATACGAAAATAACCTTAAGTGCATTAAGGTCAAGTAGTTTCTTTGAAGAGAGGAAAGACTTGAGGGTGATATGAACAGATAAAATACAAAGGTGAAGGTAAAGGCTAGCTGCGAAATTAAGATTTGCTATTTATAGTATAAATTGAATTTTATAATGCCGCCTGAGCGAATATTTTATTTAAAAAAAATTTCCACTTTCCTGAATAAAGAACTTTAGAAAATTAAAAATTAACAAAAGAATTGTTATTATTCTTTTGTTAATCTTTTTCGAAACTAAATTCCTTATTTATATCTAATTAAAATATATAATATTTTAATGATATATTTTAATTAATTATAAATTTATAAATTATTAATTTCTAAAATTGTTCAAAGAATGACAGTTGTAAAAAAAAATGTTATTTTCAATGTATGTGACGGTTTGGATTTAGTACAAAATTGGAGCAAACAATGGGAGATTATTTTGACTAATGGTTGTCCTAACAATCTCCCTAAGATAGGATTTCTAGTCAATTGACAAGATAATGGGAGATTTCAAGTTTATTAAAGTCACCATTTGTTACGTGAGCCATGAAAGGTTTAAGGACATTGGCACTAATAAATGAGCAGCTGCAGTGTAGAATTTAACTATCGGTCATTACAATATTGTTATCCTTTGGAAATGCCAATAAACCCAATTCTCAATACATGTTAAATTTAATATATTATTAATTTCAATAATTGATTTCATAATTCAAATATCAATAACAAGTATTTTCTATTTCGTTGAAAATGAAAAAATAAATAAATAAAAAAATAAGAAAACAAAGAAATACGACAATAAAGAAACACGAAAATAAAAAATAAGAAAATAAAGGAAATATGAATATAAGACGATAAAAAAGCAGAAAACAAAGAAAACAAAAAAGGTACAAAAATTAGAATTTAAAAAAACAAAGAAATGCGAAAATAAAGAAATAAATAAAGAGAAAATAATGAAATAGGAAAACAAGATAATAAAATAAAAAAGCGTTTGTAAATATAATTTAAATTGGAAACTAAAATTATTTTCGTCCGTTAAGTATAAATGACCGCAGAGAAAAAGGGAAATTAGTAATTACAAAATGTACCGAACAATTTGATTAAATTGAAAACAAGAATTTATTTTTAAATCACAATTTTCCAATGAAATAAATTAATAAATTTGTTTCTACAATTCCAATTCGAATTCTCCATGAATTTATATAATAGTGATAATTAAATTATGGAAAATGTTAATAAAATTTCCCTCTCTATTAAATTTATGCGAAAAATGCTTATATTTATTGCCTTTCATGAACACATTGTTATTTAATAATTAATCAATTTCGGTTTTTAATTTTAGAATAAAAAAAAAAGAAAAGAAAATATATGATATTTTGTAAAATTTATTTTTTTTTACCCGATGTTTTCAATTTGTTGCTCGCCGATATAACGTTTTTGTTATAACATTGTTATTGAGATGTTTTTTATATTTGCGAAACAAAACAATTTTTCCAGGTTATTGATCAAACAACTGAATATGTAATTGATATTCAGTCGGTGAATACCAATCCTAATCGTATTATTCCATGCCATTTAATAAATCACGTTTACAAATCGATCAGTGAAACTGATTCAACGCATCAATCGAAACGAAATTCCCATCAATAATCCGTTAAATTTTCTTCTATGAAATTAATGTAATTTCAATGTATTTCGAATACAATCATTTCAATTATGCGATTTTACGTAATTGAGAATATTTTCAAAAATTAAAATTAAATTCCGAAAGAGTGGAGAATACTCTTTCGGAATTTAATTTTTGAAAATATTCTCAATTACGTATTTTTTAACTTTTTGTTTATAATTTTCTATTAATTTAGTAATTAATTTTGTTATTAATTTTCTTATTAATTTATTTATTAACTTTTTTATTTTTTTTTTTATAAATAAAAAAATAAGAATTTTTTCTAATATTTAGTTATTTTTCACTAAAACTTTAGTGAAAAAATGATGACTACTAAAAAAATATTGATTTTTGCTAAACTTTAATAAATATTACCACTAATGCAATTTATTAATTACTAATTAGGAAACAATGAAATATTTTTTAAACTAGGTAATATTAAAATTAAAGATCAATAATAATTGTAAAATTAGTAAAGACAGTAAAATTACTAAAAGCAGTAAAATCAGTAGAAATAGTAAGTAAAAATAATAAAACAGTAGAATAGTAAAAATAGGAAAATGATTAAAAATAGTAAAATTAATAAAAATAGGACAATCAGTAAAAATAATAAATTTAGTAAAAACATTAAAATAGTAGAAATAGGAAAATCAGTAAAAATAGTAAAATTAGGGTAAAACAGTAAAATAATAAAAATAGGACAATCAGTAAAATTAGTAAAAACAGTAAAATAGTAAAAATAGGAAATTTATTAAAAATAGTAAAATTAGAAAAAACAGTAAAATAGGAAAAATAGGAAAATCAGTAAATATAGAAAAATTAGTAAAAATAGGAAAATCAGTAAAAATAGTAAAATTAGTAAAAAAAACAGTAAAATATTAAAAATAGGATAATCAGTAAAAATAGTGAAATTAGTAAAAATAGTAAAACCAGTAAAATAGTAAAAATAAGAAAATCAGTAAATGTAGAAAAATAAGTAAAAATAGAAAAATCAGTAAAAATAGTAAAATAGTTAAAATTGGACAATCAGTAAAAATAGTAAAATAGTTAAAATAGGACAATCAGTAAAAATAGTAAAATTAGTGAAAACAGTAAAAATAGTAAAATTAGTAAAAACAGTAAAATAGTAAAAACAGTAAAATAGTAAAAATAGTATTAGTAAAAATAGTAAAATTAGTAAAACCAGTAAAAGCAGTAGAAATAGTAGAATCAGTAGAAATAGTAAGTAAAAATAATAAAAACAATAGAATAGTAAAAATCGGATAATCAGTAAAGTAAAAACAGTAAAATAAGTAAAAAATTTTAAAAACAATAAAATAGTTAAATTAGTAAGAATATTAAAATTGCTGTAAAAGTAGAAAAAACAACTAATTATAAAATTAATTTTCACAGTAAAAATAATAAATTATTTTCACATTTCTATATGAAATATTTTCTAAAAAGTGCACGTAATAAGAGTTTTTTTCGGCGAATTGTTTATTGTAAGATGTATAATATGGAAAAGTTAGATATAAAATACATTCATGACTGAGTTTGCATAAATATCGGATTACCCTCTTTTCGTCGCGTTGCAGAAACTTCTCTCTTTCTCTCTCGCTCTCTTTTTCTTTCTGTTAACAGATGTGCATTCAAAATGCTTTCAGTGCCAGATTATACGTCGATTACACTCACGTATATTCAGTTTTTTTCTTTCTTTGAAATTTTGCCAAATATCTATTAAAATCCATCATATAATTCCCATCTATTATCGTATTCCCTTTGAGTACTCGTATTTTAATTACACTCTTTGACAAAAAAGTCAAATTCTTTTCAAAATATAACATCGCATATATATATCGTAATTAATATATAAATAATAATTATAATATTTAAAAGAGATATTCAGAATTGAAAATTCTTTTGAAGAGAATTTGACTTTTTTCTCCATTCCCTTCTTTAAAAAAGAGATATTAATATTTTAATACTAAAAATAAAAAATTTACTACTTCTAAATATAAAAATATAAAAATATAAATATATAAAAATAAATAAATAAAAAATGGTTATTAAAAAAAGAAGTAAAAAATTGAAAAATAATTGCGAAAACTTTCGACCTTTACGTACAAATTTTTAACATGTGGAAGCAAAACTTTTTTTTTGTTTTTAATACGAAAAACTAGAAACAATCACGGAACAAGAGGAAAAATGTGGAAGGAAAACTTCATAGGAAATAACAATTTCTCATCAAAACTATAAACGTAAAAAAGTGTAATAAAAAAATTATAACTTTTGTGTATGTGTATGTGTGTGTACTTCATGAAGAATTAATTTTCTCTCTCGTTTTTTTTCTTTTTTTAATCTTCTGAGAACGTTAAAGTCTTTTCGGACTGATCATAAAAAGAATATGTGTCTCTTTCACGCTTTGCACCGTAATTTTTTTACGCCCTAACGCATTTGCATTCTTATGAATATTACAGCATTGTTAGGTAAACTAGTCACGGGCATTGGTTTTGTGCTAGCCGGCAGAATGTAAAATCCAATTTAATTCACGTTGAGTGTACTATATATATGCAGATAAAATGACCTTAATATTAATTTTGATCTTTTGAAAGAAAGAGAACACAAAAAAAATAGAAGAAGAAGAAAAATTCTAAAATGCCCTTCTTTGCCATACGAAATTTAATTTAAAAAACTTTAAAATAAAATTATAATATTTTTTTTACTAATCACATTATTCAATTATAAATATTTTTTATCAATTTATAATATTCCGGATTTTGAAAATAATTGTAGAAATTCTTTTAGATTAAAAAAATACTAAATATCAATTAAATTTTAATTGTAATTAATTTGAATTATTACTAATAATGAATTAATTATTATTATCGGAATAATTTGACTGAAGTTTCAATGTTTCTGTGTTACAGTATAACATAAAAAAGAAAGAAGAGGTCCAAGAAATTCAACAGGAAGAACCTAACCCGCTAATGCGCAAGAAGAAGACGCCTGAGGAATTGGCGGCTGAAGCGGAAGCGGAAGACGAAGATGAATTTACCAGTAAGTTTCGATATTTTCTTCTCCATTTTTTTATGAGGTTTTCTACAATTTAATAACTAAAATGTTTCCCTAAATAAACTTTCGAAAAAAAAAATAATAATAATAATTAAACGAAACCTAAATTTTCCAAAAGTTCTACAATTACAAAAAAATAATAATGTTTTTAAAAAAAATAAAACAGCAAAGAATTTTAACGATTCCAATTTTCCATTTATTGGAAAAAAAAATTGCAAAAAAAAAAATCCTTTCCCATTTTACCGAATAAAATTTGGCTAATTTTTCAAATTTTATTGCTATACATTTTTTTTGTTTCGTAAAAAGAAATGTAAATTGGTATCGTTAAAATTGTTATATTTTACTATTTCTCTCTTTTCCTTTCTTTTTTGGTAGTTTAAAGTTTTCAATTTAAATTTAAGTTAAAATTTTTATTTATCTTTAAAAAAAAAATTAACAAAATTTTTTTAAATTTCAGAATTTAAGAATACGATAGAGACGCAAGTGAATGAAATCAAGACACAAATCGAAAGTAAATGCAGCCTCCAATGAGTTCATCCAATGATGCGGTCGATTACGATGGCGTCGTCAGTCATCAAGATCGCGTCCGTCACTCATTCCCGCCGAACAGAAAAAATAAATAATAATAATAATAATAAGAAAAATATTAATGAAGAATACAAAAATGGCTGTATATGTTTAAAATCAATGAATAAAGCAACTAAAAGTAAAAGAAAAACGCAAAACACCTGCGGCTTTGCCACATCATTTTTCGCATGGCAAGTCCACGCGGAAATGAAGAAAAGACCACTAGCAGCTTAGAAAAAAAAAAAAAAAAAAAAAAAAAAAAAAAACCAAGAGAGAACTTTACAACAATAGAAAAATCTCAAAAGCCCCGGTGTTCTTTGAGATCCTCGTTGAAGTGATTAAACCTCCAAGGTTCGTCGAGCTCGAAACGGAAAAAAAGATAATAAAGGAAAAAAAGAAAATAAAAGATAAAGAAGAAGAAGAAGAAGAAGAAAAAGAAGGAAAAAAAGATAAAGAAGAAAAAGGAAAAGAAAAAGAAGCGAAAGAAAAGGAAAAATCGGAAAAGAAAAGAAAACGAGAAGAGGAAAAACAAAAAAGAAAAGAAAGAAAGAAGAGAAAACAAAATAGAAGCGTAAAAATGGAAAGAAAAGGAAAAAATGAAAAATATCAAGAAGAAGAAAACTCGTGATTATCAAGAACTGGAAAGTTTCCCTTTAACGAGAATCCTCCCCCCCCCCCCCTCCAGCCCCCAAAGTTTCGCGACAAGTTCAACGAGAGTAGCGTTCTAATCAATCCATCGACAGTCGTTCATCGATCTCTCAGCATCAAGATTGAAAAAAGAAGCTGCGTTAGAGAAAAAGAGCACACCCAAAAAAAGCTTAAAAAAAGAAAAACAATCTTGAAAGAGAACAACCCGTGCCTTCGAACTGGATGTCTCCTTGCAAATTACTTGTAAATTTCAAGAATCTTGATGCCAGGGAAAATAAATCGACAGGCGTGAGAGAGAAAAAGAGGGAAAAATAAGGAAAAAAGGGGGAAAAAGAAGAAAAGAAAAAAAGAAGAGAAAAAGGGAGAAAAGGAGAGAAACAGAAAAGAAAAGAAAGAAACAAGGGAAAAGGAGAGAAAAAAGAGAAAAGAGAAAATAGAGAAAAGGAGAGAAAGAGAGAAAAAGTGATAGAAAAAAACTAAGAAAATAAAAGACAGAGAAAAAACAAGAGTGAGAAAAAAATACAAGAGTGAGAAAAAAATACAAGAGTGAGAAAGAAGGGGGAAAGGGTTTGGAAAAAAAATCAGGGCGTCACGAGAGTGCCAATTGGAAAGAAAAGCGAAAAACAAAAAGGAAAAGAGAGAGAAAAAAAAGAGAAGATTGTCGAGGGAAACAAAGGATATTTCCTCGAAACAAAGACTTTGCTACTGCATGCTTATAAATTGCCGCAGGGAAATAACGAGGAAATGGCACGGAGGAGCCGACGAGTCGATGGGGCAAAAGCGAAAAAAAGTACAAGGATACCGTGCAAAAAAAAGAACTTAAACCAAGAGGATAGGACGGGAATTCATTCGGGGGACGGAGATCATACACACAAAAAAAATATACAAATTAAACGAGGCTTATTAAAAAAAAAAAAAAAAAAAACCCAGCATTCTACGAGAAAAAAAATTCATTTGCGCCACGCTCTATTCCCCTCCCCCCCAAAAAAACGAAAAAAAATACTTGCAAATATTTATCAAATTTCACGGAAAAAAAATGCACTTGACGACAATAAAAAAAAAAAAAAAAGTCTGCTTTCGCGTGGCGCAAATGAATCCAAATCTCTCTCCCAATTTGCCCCGCAATACAAGAGAGATTGAGTAGCTTCGGCCTTGAAAAGCTCTTAGGAATTTTTTTCTCTCCTAAGAAACCAAGTCGCAAGTCTCATTGATTACAAAAATTCTCTCGTCCACACTGACGAGACCAAAAATAAAAAAAAAGTGGTGGAAAGTGGGGGAAAAAATAAAAAAAAAGTATCTATCATGTAAGTTTCTAGTGAAATTACGAATAGCTGAACTTACGTTAGCAAAAAAAAAAAAAGTTATGTAGTTGCTAGACACACACGTGCGACGGCTGTTTCAATAATTAAAAAAAAAAAAAATATTACTCTAGCGCAGGGTTAACGTATTTGTATTTAGGGGAGGTTTCGTAAACGCCTGGAATCTCGAGAGCTCTAGTCGATGGAGATGAAGGACGAATATTATAAAAAAAAAAATAATAATGACACTTTAATAAGGACGATCTTTAAGAACGCGGTAGGTTTCTGCTCTCCATCGGTTCGATTATAAAAAAAAAAATTTGAGAATTAAAAATTTAAAAAAAAAACCACGTGCTCGATATTGTCGACGCACGGAGAATATTAAGTAAAAAAAAATGAAAAAAAAACGCGAACGAATCAAGGAAAACGATGAAATTTCCTTGAATCACAGTGATATCGTATATAAGGTCGTAGATACTAGTTAAAAAAAACCAATTGTTGACGATTTATTATTGGAAAAAATTTTCCCGGTGTGAAAAATGCCCGCACCGTTAGTTTGTTGTGTTTTGTGCGCAAACACCATTTTATCCCGTGAAATCATGTAGAATTTAAAAAAAAAAAATTCATTTCGAATTTTTCGGGGTTTTTTATAATATATAGTGTGATACATAATGTGTAAATATTTGTCGATTAGAACATGCTAATTGTGCGAGTACCGAATTGCTTTTCTCTCTCCCTCTATTTTTTTTATTTTCTTTGAAAAAAAATTGTAAAAAAATTTATCTTCACGATTTTAAAATAATTTTAATTTTAAAATTATAATATTGAAATTTAAAATTATTTCATTATAATTTTATAAATATTTATAATATTTTAATTTTTACTTTTATAATTAATTGAATTAATTGAATTAATTAAAATAATTAAAATAATTAATTAAAATAATAATTTGAAATTATTTTTTATTTTAAGACGAAATAGTTTAAAGAATAGTATTAAAATTATTCTTAATCATTTTATAGTGATTTTTGAAGTATATAAAATCGAAATTATTTTATTTTAAAGAAGAAATAGTTCATAATTTTATGGAGAAAAATATTTTTTTTCTTGGAAAGTAAAATATTTTTTGTTTAAAAAATAAAATTGACTCATTCGAGATTTTTCTAACCAAAGATTTTTTGTTCTGCGATAAAATATGGTTTTTACTTTATTATCTCAAGTGAAATTTCGTCAAATATTTAAATTTTTGACAGTATTTTTATTGAGAGAAAAGAACTTTTTTTTTACCAAATTGAATTTTTTTGGATTGAAAAAAAATATTTTTCTTTCAAAGAAAATTAGAAGAAAATAAAATAAATTTTATTCAACTGAAAATTGCTTTGCTTTTCATTTTCTTCTATTTTAAAAGTAAATTTTTTTAATTATGAATTAATTTTTAAACTGCATTTTTTTCCCTAAAATAAAAAATAAAAATTTTTCTTTTATAAAAATTTTTGGAGAAAGAAAAAAAATCCGGAACTTGAGTATTATTCTCTTTTTTTTTGCCGTGCGACGACGACGTCGATGCCCGCTACGTGGTACACGCACCGAAGTGTTTGTTGAAATTTTTCATAGTTTAACAGTTTTCCGATGCGTGAACTATGTCGGACGATGGTCCAGAGCACCAACTTTCCGGCAGGTGATGCATGCCTTATATAATATCTACAATATTTAAAAAAAACCGTTTGAATAAACCACACGTCGTATTCGGGGGAAAAAATATAGAAAACCTTGTAAATTCTCATTCAAAATTTACCAATAAATAATAACAATTTTGTTGCAACAATAAAGTTAATAATAAACTTATTCTTTCAAAAATTATTGTATTTTTTATTAAGGAAAAGGAAAATTTTAATTTTTAATTTACCCAAGAAAAAGAAAATTCTTAATTTTCTTTTTTAAAAAGAAGAAAAATTCCAATTGCTTTTAATTTTCGTTTAAAAAAAGGAAAATGCAATTTTCTTGAATTCAATTTTTTTTCCTTTAACGAAGAAGGAAAATTTCGATTTTCTTTAATTTAACAAAGAAGGAAAAATTCCTATTTTTCTAATTATAACTTTTCCTGTAAAAATTAAAAATTATTATTGTTGTAACATAATAACAAGAAAACTATGAATGGTAAATTTATGCGAAGAATCCATCAGGAGAAAAAAGGACAAAGAAAACCATCGAATTACAAGGAAAAGCGACTTGAAAAAACGGAAAACGTATTAAAGTGGGGGAAATAAAAAAAAGCGACATTATTAATTTGTGTGCGAAATAGAGGAATCTATATAAATGAGAGGGAGAATGTGAGTGTGTGAAAGTAAATTTTCGAATGATTCAAATGTAAAACCCCGTTTTTGTATAGTCGAAGGAGAAAGTGTATATTTCTTTTTTCATTTTTAAATTCATTTTTCTTCGCAGCCACTTTTCGAAAACTCTGACTGCGACCCTCTCGATTACTCTCTCTCTCTCTATATATATATATATATATATATATAATACTTGCTTTTCTCTAAAAACCACAATTTATTCTTTTCTACATCTACGCGCAAAAAAAATTCTCTTTTTCTTTTTCTACCTTGAAAACTTATATACTCAACGAACAAGAACCATTCATTCAAATTCCGTGACGCGACCTATTTTTCCAAAGAATAGAACTTTTTTTCCCAACTGCATTTCAATAAAAGCAAAAAAGAAAAACGAAAATGAGAACTTTCTCATCCGATTCGATTGCAGTTGAAAAAAACAATTTTTTTTCAAATCTATAATATTTTTTCCTTCAAAAAAAAAAAAAGAAAATTGTATGTATGTACGTGTGCTACTGAAAAAATTACAAATTTATAAACGAACTTTGAGTACAAGAAATTTTATAAAAAAGAAATTAAATTTTAGGACAAATTTTCTCTTTCAGTGTTTCAAAGAAAAAAAAAATACTTAAAAATAAAAGCTTTCAATGTGGTGTGTATGCAGTGTTGTATTTTCAAAAACAACAAACAAAGAAAAAATTCATTACACAGTTTTTGTTTTTTTTTTTTGTTGTACTTGGAAAGTTTCTTTAAACACTTTATCCATCACTAACACTCAAACTTAAAGCACAGATAAATCGCTATTCTTGTTTTTTTCCTCTACAAAAAAAAAAATATACTTTTTTTTCTATCTTGAAGAAAACTTTTGAATCGATATCGTTAACTTTTTTTTTCGTCACGTTCCAAAAAAACAAATAAGGACAAAAAAGTTTTTAAAAAATTCGTCCTGCCATTCTTTCTCTGCTTGTTTGTTCGTGAAAAACAAACACCCAGAGAAAGTTTTTACGCAGATCGCTACTTCCGTCTTTTACCATAGACGAACTTTTTGAAGCTTTAAAGCTCATCCAACCAAGTTTTGAGGAGGGGAAAAGAGGGAGAAAGATTCAGTTTTCAAGTTCTTGGAAAATATTACTTCCTTCCGTCATTATACAAAACTT